GACTGTCTGTACGCTTGACAAAGTTAGCTGGCCACTTCTGCCCAACCTGGCCAGCGCCGCGTGCAGCCAGCAGCTTATCAGCCATATCACGTGCAGCTGCGTAGGTAGGCGCAAATCCACGCTGATCTAGGTGAAGTATATAGCTGACAATAACCTCCTCTTCTCTCTGGGTAAGCTTCCTTGAGTTAGGCTGGCAATCGCGTCGCGCGCGCTTTCCAGTGCGCCAGTCAATTAGGGTTGATTTTAGGATATTAAAGACTGTAGCAGCGCGTTGTGTACTCTAAATTTGGGCAGAATCTATAGATAAGAGAGCAAGCTGAATATCTGCTTCATTTAACTGCATGAGCAGAGCGCGGCGTGGAGGCATTGTGTGTTAAGATAGAGTAGGTGATCAAAGTTGGTGGGGTGACCGACTCGCTTGTCTGACCGACTCGCTTGCCAACCATGTTAACACTGCTAAAAAACACTAGAAGAGAAATTGCAAGCGCATACTACTAGCTTAAACTTAGACATAGATACAATAAAGCATAACGTAAACCCCCAGCACCCAGGCCAACCCAGCACCCGGGCCATTTCTTGCCAAGACCACAACTATTAATATTAACACGTAATGCCTTGCTAACAAGATGCGCAATTATCTAAACAAGAGGGTAGAATTAAGACGTAACACACAATATAAGCTTACACGCACTAAAGAGCAAACAATTGTATAATATATTCTTGACCTCAATTCGCGAGGATTCGCGCCCTGGCTGTGCGAGGTGGCAGATATGGCCGACAAACTGTTGGGTGTACGCGGTGGGCAGCCTGTTGGCAAGCACTGGGCTGAGCGCTTCGTAACGCGTTCAGCTGAGCTCAAGATGGCCTTTAATCAAGCCAAAGATAGGCAGAGGATGCTGCAGGAGGATCTAGAGACAATTAGCGCGTGGTTTAAGCTAGTAGAGGACACAAAAGCTAAATACAGCGTACACAACCACAATGTGCACAACTTTAATAAGACTAGCTTCTAGATAGGTGTTATTAGCTTAATAAAGGTTGTCACAGGCGCAGAGAGACGTAATTAACCTCAGCTCGTTTAGCTAGGTGATTGCGAGTGGGTAACAGTCATCTAGAGCGTCTGCGCTGCTAGATCTTGTACCCTGCCTTTTATCATCTACAAAGGACGCGTTCACATCTCTGCCTGGTACAAGGAGGCAGATATACCACGCAATTGGAAGCTCTCTGTCTCCAAGAGCGGCTGGACGAACAACGCGCTCGGCCTTGAGTGGCTGAAGCACTTCGACGCGCATACAAAGGCGAGCCAGGTGGGGGCGTACAGGCTGCTTATTTTAGACGGCCATGAGAGCCACCTTAACTAGGATTTTAAGGACTACTGCCTTAAAAACATAATCCTTACCCTCTGCATGCTACCTTACTTATTGCACATCCTCTAGCTACTTAATGTAGTCTGCTTCTTGCTATTAAAGCGCAAGTACTCTTAGCGCGTACAAGACTTAGCACACAAGCGCGTCTTCTATATTAACAAAGAAGGCTTTCTCCCTGCCTTTAAGGACACGTTTTTTAATATATTTATAGCAGAGAACTGTTGCAAGGCCTTTAAGGCAGCAGGGCTAGTCCCTCTTAACGCGCAGGTCGTGTTAGATTGCCTTAAAGTGCGCCTGTGTACCCTGCCAGAACCCCTCCTCCTAGAGACGCTGTGGCAGTTAAAGACTCTAAGCAATACCTACAAGTTTAGATCTTAGTTAAAGCTTGTACGCGAGTCTTTTACTTAGTTGCCTATTACTGCGCAAGCAGGCTTCTCTCAGCTTGTTAGAGGCGGCAAGCTTATGCTGCATCAGAACGCGCTTTAAGCAGCCCGGATTACTGAGCTTGAAGAGCAATTAGCAGTAATAACTAAGCAGAAATTGCGCAAAAGGAAGTGGATCTAGCAAGGTGGTACTATAGAGTATGGTGAGGCAGCAGCTTAGGTGGCTGCAGAGGCCTCTGTAGCCGCTAAGTGGTCAAAGAAGGCTTGTGGTAGTGGTGATTAAGAACAAGCTTAACTAGCTCTATAGTGCTGTAGAAACTGTGGAGGGACTGGACATAATGCGTGAACGTGCAAAAAAGATATAGAGGCATATTCTAAATTAGATACAAGCACAGTGTACGCAGGCTCTATGTTAAATAGCGATGAAATTGAAGAGTTGTAACGTGAGTTGGTACTGCCAAGCTTTTTTGGCCCGGGTGCTGGGTTGGCCCGGGTGCTGGGGGTTTACGTTACCTATATAATAGACAAAAAACAGAAAGCTCTAAATACAGCTACAGATATACATAAACACCTTAACACCTACTATTTAGTTGTAGAAACTACAGAGAAGCAAGAAAGAAAATAAAGAGCAGCCTATAGGAGAAAAGGCTAACAATGCCTCTTCTCCTAGACACAAATAGGGGAATCTAAGCTACACTAGCTTTTATTTAAGAAACTAAAGTAGGCACACACAAGTAGTACCTATAGCAAACAATAGACAACTAAATTCCTTTGCTTATAACTAGAGCATAGGCTCTTACTATATATCTACAAACCTATATATACTATTCCCTTACACAGAAAAAACTTGTAAATTACTAGAGCAGCCTCACTGCTCTCGTCCTATATGGTCTTACACTCACACAGGACGTTAAACTAATCAATCAATCAATTAATCAATTTGCGCAGATGCCTTAGATAATGCTAGTCCACTCTTAGTCGCCCTGCTACACTGTCTTTAGTCTCCCTCAACGCTCAGAGCCTGTGACAACAGCACTAGTGGATATAACGCCCATCTTAAAGCTAGATTTACTAAAGTTGTAGGTGTCTGTATCTAGGATACTATACTTAGGTGTAGTATTCTCCACAAGCTGGAACTAGTCACCAATTACGTTCGGATCCTTACACAGCGCTCTCTTGTAGTTATACTTGTAATTAAACTTGACTTTAAGCTCTAGCTAATGTTAAACAAAGTTAGCAGCCTAGCTCTTGCTAATAGGGGCCTAGTGGCGCTTAGCAAGCAGAGAATTGGCTATGTCCTCTACATTAGTAAGTTAGGGTAAGAATCCTCACTTGTCTAGCCTCAACACGTGCTAGACAATTACCTCCTCTTTAGTGCTAACGTACCCCACGGGCGAGTCGGACACACGGGCGAGTTATACACTTTTGCCAAGACCCTATTAAAACACCCTTACTACACCAATGCCTCTCCACAAACGCCAGTTAGACGCGTTAAAAGAAGCTTAGATACAGCTTGCGCTTTAACCTCTTAAACAAGACGTGACTCTCTCTCTACAGCGCGCTGCAGCTATCTATAGAGCTCCCCTACCAACACTAAGCGACTGACGCGCTGGACGACCTTCACAAGTTAATTCTATGCCTAAATTACAGAGCCTAACTAATACTGAGGAGCAGGTGATTGTTAATTATATACTTAAGCTAGACTGGCGGATGGGTACCATGTACCTAGGGTAGGGTATAGGTAGGGTATAGGTCGCACGGACGTAGGTATAGGTAGGGTAGGGTCGCACGGACCATAGGTATAGGTAGGGTAGGGTTGCACGGACCATAGGTAGGGTAGGGTAGCACGTGACTGGGTATAGGTATAGGTAGGGTAGCACGTGCTAGGTATAGGTTTGGTTTGGGTATATTACTAACCTAGTTTGTATACAACTAACCCTA